CTTGAGTTGTCTGCGGAAGGAATGACTTTGTGCTCCTTTTGTGTAGGGCTTTGGCTAACCCGTGCAGGAGTTATCTCTGGTTGCCTAACATGGAGTTGGAGAGGCGGCCACGGAGTTGGTCAACGTGCCATCTCCAATTCTGACCGTCCTCGAGCTCTACTAGGTAAGAGCGAGGTCCAGTGATGCCTATTACTGTGGCAGGAATCCATAGAGTTCCCCCAGGATAGTTGTGGATGTAAACTGAATCCCCTCTGCTAAAGTTCCTTATTTTACTTGTCGAATCTGGGGGTGATGAGTCAGAGTAATTTGGGTGTAGCCGGTCTAAGTGGGACTTAGCCGGAGACCCATTAGAAGCACAGAAAGGCTTCTCCTAGTGGTAGCACTTGGTGTGATGTGCTGTATGAGGAGGAATTGATCAACCCGTGCCCATCCTGGATAGGGCCTCTTTTGCAGATCTTACCATTCTCTCCGCCTTACCATTGGAGGCCAGATGGAATGGAGCAACCAGGGCATGTCTGATTCCCTGCGCTGCTAAGTAGGTCTCAAACTGCATGGCCCTAAATTTGGGCCCGTTGTCAGAGATCAAGACATTGGGCAGGCCCTGAGTGGAGAAAAATCTCAGTAGTGCCTTGATGACCACTTCTGCCATGATAGAGGTCATGAGGACTACTTCTAGCCATTTCGAGTAGGCGTCCACAACTACCATGAAAGTCTGGCCGTGAACTGGGCCAGCGAAATCTATGTGCACCCTAGACCATGGTGCTTGAGGTCGCTCCCACTCCTTAGCAGGCGCCTCTGGGGCAGCTGGTCTGGACTCCTGGCATGGTGTGCAGGTAGCCACCCATTCTTCTATCTCCCTGTCCATGTTAGGCCACAACACGTAACTCCTGGCCAAAGACTTCATCCTGAAAATTCCAGGGTGCCCTACGTGCAAAGCCTCTAATATTGCAATGCGCAGTTTGGGTGGAACAACGACCCAGTCCCTGCACAGTAAACAACCATTTATTACAGACAGTTCATAACGTTTGCAGTAAAACATTTTAAATTCAGACCCGACAGGCCCTTTGGGCCACCCTCTCCACACCCGGTTCAAAACCTGTTTGAGTGTAGAGTCTTTTGCAGAGTGGGGGGCAATGTCACTAGACGGACAGGACCAGTCTCTAGGCAGTCAATGAGGAGGACTGGCGTCTCGGGGGTAGAGTCTGCAAGCAGTTCAGGCAGTGGGCATCGACTCAAGGTGTTGGCATGCCCCAATGTAGAGCCAGGTTGATGGACGAGGTGATAATTGTAGGCTGCGAGGAAGATTGTCCATCTGGTCATTCGTGGCGACAAAGAAGCAGTAGGCCAGTCTCCAGCCAGCAAGATCAGTAGTGATTTGTGGTCCATGATGAGTTCAAAATCACGGCCGTAGAAGTACTTGTGGAAACTTTTAACACTGCCGACTGCAGCCAGAGCCTCCCAGTCCAGTTCGCTGTAGTTCCGCTTGGCAGCAGACAAGGTTTGTGAGTAATAGGCGAAGGGTGCCTTGGTTCTATTGGGTATGTGGTGGCTGAGGACAGCTCTGACGCCAAACAGGGAAGCGTTGCACGTTAGCACAAGTGGCAGGATCTTGCTGTATTGGACCAAAAACGTGTCCACTGACAGCAGTCTCTTCACCGCGGCAAATGCGGCTGCTTCGGCTTTGCCCCAGGACCACTTTGTGTTCTTTGTGAGAAGCCAATGTAAAGGTTCAGCAACTGTGGCTTTCTGTTTGAGAAAGACACTGTAGAAGTTAAGGAGCCTGAGGAACGCTTGCAGCTCGGTCTGATTGTGAGGTATAGGGGCATCCTGGATTGCCTTAATTCTTTTGTCGGTCGGATGAATCCCAGAGCCGTCGATGAGGTACCCTAGGAATTTAACCCTTGGCACGTTAATTTGGCATTTCGCCTTTTTGAGGCAGAGGCCTTTGTCTCTGATTCTGGCCAGAAAAGATCTCAATCTTTTAAATAATTGCACCTTATTTGCAGCCAATACCAAGATGTTGTCAAAATAGGGGATGACTCCTGGAATCCCTTGCAAAAGCCGTTCCATGACACTTTGGAACAGTCCAGGGGCGATACTAACTCCGAATTGCAGGCGGTTGCATTTGAATTCACCCCTGTGCGTCATAATGGTTTGGGCCTCCACCATAGCGCCATCTACAGGCAACTGCTGGTATGCCTGCGCCATGTCTAATTTTGTGAAAACTTTTCCGGGGCCTAATGAATGTAGTAAATGCTGTACAATGGGTACAGGATAAGTACTTTGTTGCAAAGCTTTATTTATTGTGCACTTGTAGTCCATGCAGATGCGAACAGACCTGTCAGACTTGACAGGTGTCACAATAGGGGTCTCCCAGCGTGTGTGATCTACCGGCTCTAAGATTCTCTGGCCTATCAATTTGTCCAATTCCAAATCAATTTTAGGGCAGAGAGCAAAAGGTAGTCTCCTGGGTTTCAGCCTGATGGGGGCTACGTTGAGGTCCAAATTAAAAGATATTGGGGGTCCCCACATACTTACCTAGACTGGT